CKGYKTGTTCTGTAGCTGAAGACGTGTGCAGCTACAGAACAGCATGACTCCAGGTTAGTGTCATTATTAGATGGATTGGTTTGATTCCTGCAATGTGAACATAGCCAAAGAGATAAAGAACTATTCACTCTGTCATTCACACCAAGGGACAGTTTAGAGCAGTAAGCCTCATGATTTTGGTTGGTAGGAGAACACCCATGCATGCATGGAGAGAACATGTAAATTCTACTCAGATTTCCCCTAAAACAAAGCTTTTTGTACTACACTTTTCTTGCTCATTATTTTAAAAAATCTTGCAATAAAGCATCAACAAAGACAAACCCAGTGTCTTTTTTTAATCTTTTCACATCTYTACATATTATTTATACAAAAATCTGTTTTATAAGAATTATAAGTCACTGTGTGATGTACATCCCTTTGATATACATGAAAACTTAAAATACTTTGATGACAGTAGAAAACTGCAATTGATGTAAACTGTACTGGTGAAACAAAATACTGTATGTAACAACTGTTAGAAAGCTTTAGAAGCAGATTTAAGGATCAGCTACATGCAGAGACCCAAATGCAGATCAGGAAGAACATAACAACTATGCAGTTTCACATTTCTAAACTTAATTTTCACTTTAAATCAGGTTTTAGACCATTTTGAAGGACAACCCTGAACATTTGCTGTAAAACTAAGATAACTATTCTCACAAATGCATACACAGTGGTAATAAAAACATAAAAATATTAAGTTTTGCTTTTTATTTTAAATTTACTGTTTTTTTAATCTGTTAGTTTGTTAGAATAAAGTAAAAATATTCTACATTTCTAATGTTAAGCCCTGAAAAGCTGTGAACATTTCACAGATGATACATTTGAACTTTTCCTTTTATGAAGTGCTTTTTAACTTTATTATTCACACATTTATATATTATTGTACTTTATGCATATAACATTTGAAGTAGCAGTTTATTAACACTAAAACAAGTTGTGCAGGGAGACCACCAGCCAAGCTGCACTCCGGCCACCTGCAGCAGAGGAAGGGTGTGACTCATTTAGGAGCTGCTCACACCTGCAGATGGTTGCAGGTGAGGTCTCTACCTGTAAAGAGACACATGGATACCCATGTAACAGAAATGTCAAACCTCCAGAAGCTACAAGCTGGAAAAAAAGCCAACAGAAAATAAATCAGCAGCAGCGACTAAAAAGCATAAAACCTAAATAGTAACATGAAGAATCAAGCAAAGAATCAAACTCACCTCATGTTGCTGATGAAATACGAGGAGTCTAAAAAAGAGAAGTTTATAAAAGTGTCAAATTTGTCGAGTTTGACCACAGCCTGAGAAGAAGAAGTTATTTTAGAACTTGTTCAGAGCCGATCACAAGTTGCAACAAAGTGTTAAAGTGCTGAGCAACGAAAGAGTCTGAACTTTTCTTTATAAGACATTTTTTTCTTTACAATCTGAGGCAACGACATAAAAACACCCTGATATTTTCTGATGGTTTCAGTTTAATGCTTGTGAATTAAGGGCCTTACTCAAGGGCCTAAAGCAGGGCCGTCATGGGCCCCCATAGTTTTARCCTCTTGAGTACCCAGCGTTTTCCTTTTTCAATTCCCCTAGCTATTTATGTATAACAGAACCTCATAAATATAAAAAACAAACATTGTTCTTCAACAATTAGGAGTTAAAAACATTAATTTATTTTTGTTTAAAATAAAAACTAATAAAATAATTTAAACCTCTTTTCTCTGAATAAAAGAACCAGCCTAAAACCAATGTTTTCATATGAAGATGGAGGTTCTCGAGGTTATATTCATATTTTAATTCAATCTATAGTTAATTAAATAATTAAAATAATGATATAATAAATATAAAATTAGGCAGCACAGTGGCACAGTTGGTAGAGCAACATGTTGCCTCTAAAGAAGAAGGTTGCTAGATCAACTTTCTGGGTTGTGTTTACATCTTCTCATGAGTGGTTTTTTTTTTTTTCAGGTATTTTAATATTCTCTCACAGACCAATATCATATTTATTTAAACTAATACGTCATGAAAAAGCAAATAAAAGAATAGCTTGGGATAGTGCTACAGTAGATGCAGTTTCAGTTGTGCTTGTTGTYGTCTTTATTTCCAGTTTTGGGTATTTATATTTAGTTATAATTAGTATTTATAGCAAATCAAACTGTTTTAACACAGAAGACAACATTATGAATACTTCTTGTACTAATAATGTAAGGACAATTTATGGTACTCCATGTGTAAAGAWATAGAACAGAGTAGAACTGGACTGTTGTGGAAGTGCAGACAGTTTGTGTTTGTGTCTGATCTCTGGACATCACAGAATCAGTAATATTATATTATTAATATTAGTAATATTATTATCTGTAAAATAACAAACTGAACATCTGTTGGAAAATCCTTCACTCTTATATTGCCATAGTTTCAAATTGTTGTCGGTCGGTGGAGTTGAACTAGCATCCTGAACATTGTGGAACATCAGAACATGGATGTTYTTGGACAACAGCACCACCCAGTGGACACCCTGAACACAGACAATCATCGTTTATTCTCTTCAAAATCTAACAATAAATTAGACATGCAGCAAAAAAAACTGAATTACTTAAGAATTTAAGAATAAGAATTTGACTTTTTAGATCTCTAGTAAAATATTTTTAAAAAGTAACAATTCTGATGTTTTAAGGGGAAATGAATGCAATCAGGTAGAAACCGATGAGATTTTACAGACAGACAAGATGTTTGTCAAACAGCTCGAGTCATTTGAGAGCTGAAAGATTTGTCTCTTTTATTTTATTTTTATTTTTATTCTTTATTTAATCAGGACAGTGCACATTAATGAACATTCTTATACTTCTGTATGGACTGTAAATYAGCCAGATTATAACATAGTTGCTAATTTACATCTGTAGTCCTGAGGCGGGAAGAAAGGGAAACTGAGGGTGAACTGAGCCCAAAAAATCTGGATCCCTGAAGAAGAAGAAAAAAAGAGAGATTCTCAAACTAAAAAAACAAGTTWAGAAGAAAACTCAACCAGACTGAAAATGCTGCCAGACAGGAAGGTGAGAATCTGATGTGGATTTCTTATAAATTCTAACAAATTGTATAAATGTATAAAAACTCAAATTGTGTTTGTCATGTGTGACAAACACAACAAACGAACAGGAGTCAAAGGTTAATAAAAATTATGATAAGACAAAACGTGCAAACCTGCAAAAACTAAATACATTTATTGACTAATCAGAGTTTGATATGGATCAGTTTTGTAAATAAATCCAATAGTTTCTACTTGGTACAGCCTGTGATAACTAATGAAGAATAACAGGAGAAAAAAAACATCAAAGTATGAAAATCCGTGGATTTATCCTCAAACAACGACCCCTTCATGAGCAGCCATTATTCCAGCTCAGCCCTTCTTCTYAAGCGGGTCATCTGAGTCCTTCAGCTTGACAGTCCCCCGCTGCTCGGGCTTATCCACACCCCATTCCTTTCTCCTTCTCCTGCTCATGGAAGAAAAGATACAGACGGGGGGATTTGCCTCACAGTAGGTAGCTGTTTTATGTGTAGCATATGGAAAAAAAGCGGCAGTGGTGGGGTCTCTTTTTTTGTCTTATATGGTGGGACTTGGCAAAGAGAGCCCACTTGAGGAGCATGGGTCTTAGAACTGGATGATTTGTTTGGAGAAGCCYTCTCCTGTGTGCAGGATTAGCTGTTGCAGGTTCCCATGGAAGCAAAGCGTGGAGGAAAGGCCTTTCAGAAGCTGCCACACCCCGACACGACTGCATATGTATGAAGTCCAAACAAAAACACAAACACACGTCTGAAAAACAAAACCTTCTGGTGAGCTCAGAGGGTGAAGTGCTTGTTTGCTGTGAGGACTTTTCTCACAATGCAGAGCAAAGACAAAAGGCAATATATTACAGTAAACAGAACCGAATCTATCAGAACAAAACAGAAAACAAAACAAAGTTCTTTACAGGTGATGCTTTCGATACATGCTGGATTTGAAGAGAGACGTTTGTTGAAGTCTTTCCAARACTGTTGATTGATCAGGACGAAAAGCTGCCAGATTTACTTATAAAAACAGTGTTCAGAACAACTTTTACATGTTTGCATAAATTGTTCTGTAAAAAGCTGCATCAGTCAACCAATCAGTCACTTCACAGAAAGTTTGCACATTCCTCAGGAACTAAAACTGGAAATTATTCATGTGAGAGAAACACGACAACACCATGAACATTTTTAATGTTTCTGATTTTTAAAGAATGATGCAGAATTGCTGCCATCTGCTGGTTAAACCAAATATTTCTGAAGCAAAAGTTTTGCTTTATTGTCAGTCACCAGAAAGGATTTYCTTTAAAATAATCAGATTTGCATCTTTGTCTGTTTCTTCTCATGTTTAAAGACCCGGTGCAGTTATTTTAGTGTTCTGGGATGTTTTTCATTTCTAAAAACAGTTCTGAGTGGACAGGGCCGAGGAAAAAGTYGTTTTTGGTCATTTCTTCATGAGGGTCATATGGAGGACAGAAACTGACATAAAATGAAAGCAGAAATATATAAATGGACCAATAAATAAATAAATACAATTAAAATGTAACAGTTAAATAAAAAATAACTTTACCTCACGTTTACCTCCTTTGTCTCTTCTCTCT